CAAATGCAGAGAATCTGATTGGTCGATAGTGACCAATCAGTGCATGAGTTTTGGGGAGACTTTTGGGGGCCGATTCTCCCAAAAGAGCACAAAATCTACTATACGAAAATTGTCTCATAAGATAGCAGCGTCGATTTCTATCCAATGAATGATTGCTATTGAAATTTGAATTTATGTAGGTATGTGTGTATGTGCGTGATCATCATCATCATCACAATATAGAGAGAGAGTTGTCCAAAAGTAGGTGGACAGTAAATGATAAAATTTGTTTGAGGTTACATATACAATTATATTTACTAATACAATTATCTGAGAAAAAAATTAGATAAATTTAGTTATAAAATTTAAAATAATATACCACAAATACCATAGTTATAATGAACACCACTGTAATGATATAACCGATACAGTGACTTATTCCACCGACTGTCCACCTACTTTTGGTCGACTCTGTATATATGTATGTGTGTGTGTTAAAAAAAATATAGTCTTTGAGGATTCTCTATTTATGTGTGAAAATCCTTCAATATCCAATATGGAGCGTGTGTAAATATAAACCGTGTAAACATTGAGATCAACGTTTATGTTATTCTTATGGCTGACAATATTTTTCATTAAATGATTCTAATGACTTTCATTAAAACTAATTATTGGCCCCATAAAAATTTATGAAAACGATTATTTCATAATTATAGATATGGCCTTTTTTAACATTTACCTGGCTTTTGTTTATTTATTCATCATTTATTTGCTATTGATTATTATTATTAAATTTACTTAGATATGTCTATACGTGCATTTGTACATTTTGCCTATTTATTTATTATCTGTTTCCTTTATTTGTTTATTTATTTTGATTATTTTTTATGCCGAGTGATGTTATGTATGTATATATATGTATGTATGACAAAATAAAAAAAAATACTATATAAACATCACGCCTTTCCTACAATTCGAAAATATCTTCTCTTTCTCAAGACAAATATTACTACCCATACAATATACAAATAAATAAATAGCTTCAACATCTTGCCAATGACGTGTTTCAAGAAGCGTAGTGGGGCTTTTGAGCAGGCCGAGGTACTATGGACATGATCTTTTCTAAAAGGCAAGGAAAAAGTGGCTGGAACAAAGAATGAATTTCTATAAAATCTTTGACAACGATCAACGGGATTGCTTTCTGTGAAATATTGAGAAATCTTGGTTGGCCAGAAAAATGGATTAACATGCTTCGGTATTTTAATAATGACTTGAAAGTGTGGGTAAATGTAGGGGGTAAGCTACCTACATTTGGTGTGAAGAATAAAGTGAGGCAGGAAGACGTACATGTTACTACCCTGTTTGATCTTTATCACACCTCTTGAAATCTATTTAATATTAGCGGAATTTGAGACAGTGCTATCTGTTAACTTTATGCAATACTAATATGCATATTATCACGATCTAGTGTGGCTCATACTGAGAATAATGTACAACGCCTACTGCATGCTTTAATCAGTGTTTGCACTGCCCTTGTACTTACTATAAATCTAAAATAAAGTGGAGTGACGCATCTAAAAAAAACGAGAAAGCCTTAAAGAGAGTCACATATCTTTGTGTACAATAAGCGTATAGGTTTGGTTGAAGAATTTGCTCATTTTCGTAACACCCTATCGAGAAGATGCTCACTGAATACGGAATTCGCGTGGATGATTCCAAAGACCAGTAATGCATCGGTTAAATTAAGCGGCAGAATGAAATGTCGAAAGAGATCATGCGGTTTTTTGTTGTCTATCACGATCAACTGAAGTTGTTCGAGCGGCTTCATAAATGATGTTGATAATTTACTTTCAGAATTCATCAAGGAACGAAATGGTATCAAGTAATGGTGACATTTTAATGACTACATTGTTCTCCGTTTTTCATCATTTGTGCTTCTCTATGCATTTAAGAGACTGTGACCAGGTGTTATATACATACACACACACACACACACACACACACATATATATATATATATATATATATATATATATATATATATATATATATATATATGGGTGTGAGTGTGGGTGTGTTTTGTGGTGCAAAACTTTATGACAGCCATAAAAGACAATTTTTTTTATTACCACTCATGATGACAATAAATAAAGAAAAAAAAAAAGCTAGCTAACCGGTTTCAAACCTCTCTCAACAAAGCTAAATCGAGGCTAATAAGATAAATTAAACAGAATTATCACTAAAAAAAATGAATACTATGTATTAGAAAAAATATTGCTTAGATGGAAATTAGTTAGTGGCCCGGTACAGAGGGCTTCCAGAGGGTTTTTTCCAGTACATATTGTCCATTTTTAGTGATAATTCTAATATTATGTCATATATATATATATATATATATATATATATATATATATATATATATATATATAAGTGGACATTGAGGTCAACACGATGAGGCAACAAACAGATTCATGCTAAACGCAATCATAGTCTGTCACCTCTGATATTTATATTTTATATTTACTTACGCTCTATCTCTGATATTGAACACTTTAACCTATAAAATATAGCACGCCTTAAAATTATATTTCTTTATATATACATAGATAGACATATAGACAGATAGATAGATAGATAGATAGATAGATAGATAGATAGATAGATAGATAGATAGATAGAAATTCGATATCTAACAGCAGGTAAACTATTTAACATCCGATGCTTCTCTTCTAAATCTAAGATTTCAAACTTTTGTCCTAGTTCTCCTTTATGCCAATGACTGTGAACTGGGGTTACCCAAACCAAACTGAAAATGCAGGCTCTGTCTTGTAGATATATATATATATCAGCTTTATTATTAGCCTGGACAAGACAGCGATCGTTTTTAAACCTGTCCAGTTTCAGCTTATTAACTTTAACTAATGCTTTTGCACTTCTAAAGGATCGATTTGGGTCTCAGAGATGATGCGTGTGTAGCAACGCATCTGCTGTACACCTCTGCGACATCTGTTGTGTCCTGCAGATATATAGACGTTATGGAGAGTTTCCACCAGCGGGTGTTTATGATCAATTCGTGGCATCCATTGTGTGCTTTCTCCTAAACATTATATTTCAGACTGTGAGGGCGGTATGAGCTAATAGCAACCAAGCTATCCGTCTTAACACAATCATTGTTTCGTCGACGAAAAGAATGATTTAAAAATCAGTTTCCTTGTGTTTTGTTGACAATTTCGTGCAGTTTTCCCTGTGGATTTCTTTTTAAAAGTGACCTTGGGATCGATAACACGTTCAGTTTTTCGTTTATAATTCAAGTATATTGCACTTTTGGCCATTTGCCCACAGCCAAAAAGATTAAAGTTTCATAGATTGACAAAGAGGAATATTTTTAAATAACATATCCTTGTTATGGAAATGCTAGACGTGTAGTCGTTCAGAATCTTGTTCGAAGTTCGCCACATTTTGGTGATACTTGCCGATTGTTTTTTTGTTTGTTTTTTTTTTTTGTTTGTTTTTTTTTTGTAATTTCATGTGTAGGATTAATTTTGAAAGTTATTAATTTATTAAATATTTCTCCTGATCGTTCAAATTGATGTTGCGATTCATTTTCAAGCTTCAAATTCGCAACATCGCTACGAACATGAGACTTTGAAAGTCAAAATATGTTATACTCTTACAGACTCTGAAGTGTTGGCAAGTTCCAGATGGTGGTAGCATGATAGCTCAAAGATAAATAGATTCTTGTGAGCACACAAAGATCCAAGAAATGTTTTCAAATAATATATACTTAATTATAATCCTAAAAGAATACTAATGAATAATTGAATGAAATGGCTATCCAAAGAATGCTTGTTTGTTTGTTCAATCGATCATAAACCGGGTGAAAACTAGCGCAGAATTATGATAAGGATGTTTTTTTTTTCTTGTTTTTTTTTTATTAGTGGACGGGTATTTAGCAACAAAAATAAATTTGGAATTTCATTTTGGATGGTTTTTTTTTTTTTTTTCTTTTTTTTTTTTTTTTTTTTTTTGAAATAGAGAAAGCTAAAAATGATGTTAGAAACGATAGAAAAGGATGCCGAACTGTTATTTAATATCAAAACCTCCTAAATGGAAGAGAATGCTGGACAATTACCTAACAGATGATTTTTTACGGTTCAGCATCCTTTAGCAGTTTATTTAAAGCTAGAAAAAATTAGATTGTAAGAATTTCTATTGCGATTATAAAAATTATCAATAAATCCTACTTATTAACCCATAGCTGGGGGAGAGAAGACGTGGATTCATATCTTTCCCAAGGATATTTATACGCAAGTGAATATAGCTAGCCTGACTGGGTTTCCAGTTCCGATTTCCAATTCCGATCCGTTATGCATTACACCACCCGCACATCCAAGTACCTGGTATTCCCAAGCGGTAACTCATTTGGGAATTTCATTTTGGATGTCTTTCGCGCTTTTTTTTTTTCATATTGATGAGCTACGTGTAAAACAATCGGGTTTCGCTTCTAAACATAAACTTTAATTTTAACTCGTACTTACGATCCATCGCTAAAGATTCTGTAAAATGAAATATCTTGACATATATGTACAGGAACTGCCCAGTCTGGGAATTGTTTGAATAGAAGAAGGAAATTGCGAAACCGAAATCGGGGGGGGGGGCGTATTTGGGGCAACAAAAGATGCCTTCAAAGAATCGAAGCTAAACAAAGAAATAAATAAAAGAGTGCTGATCTGCTTTTGTAAAAAATACTGGAGAATTTCTTAACTGATGATTTCTAAGGAGTTTATCAGCCTTTTGCAGGTTATTTAAATCAAGAAAATATTTTTAGATTGTAAGAATGTTTTGGAGATAATAACGATTTAGTGATACAATTCATATTGATTAACCTATAGCTGGGGGAGAACAGAAGTGGATTCGAATATTTACGCGTAAATGAATAAAACCAACTCGATTGGAATTAGAACTCGGGCAACCGATTTCCAATTATGTTATCCATTGCACCATCCGCACATCCGTACTTATAGCACCTAGAATTCCCAAACGGTCACCCATCTAAGTAATGACCAGGCTCAACTTTGCTTAACATTGGTGATTATACGCGAGTCGGTGTTTCAACGGGATGTAGTCGTAAGCCTCGAAGCAACAGGGACACGTTTCCTCAGACGCTTAATGAGACGCCTGATGAGAATACCATGGGCGGAGTATGTGAGACATGAGGAAGATTTAAGAAAGATAGATGTGACAACATTTGGAAAGCAAAGAAAAGGAAGAAAAGAAGGGAAAGAAATGAAATTTTGATAGTGACAAATGGTGAAAGGTTTCATTGCCATTACAGAAAATTCTAAATAGATAAAAATTGACTGTGTCGTGGTGGCGGACTTATATTATCGGGAATAGATAACAGCCACTTGGTGCTGGCGAAAATCTAATTGACAAATTCCAGATCGGCTAGCTAAACTCCGGGACAGAATAGATAAACATTTAACTGTGTCACGGGACTGCCGGACCACCCACGAGCTAAAGAAAACAAAGGAAAATAGGTTAAGTCTTTGTCAAGGGAAAGATATCGTTAGACAAGGTCTGGGTTTTGTTAGAATGTAGCGATAAGAGCGAAACAATATTATCGCAAGGGTTGGGCGTAATTGCTGGACGACCACCCATTCTGATAATTGGCGAAAATCTGACTGACGAAGTCCAGATGAGAATTGAGTTTATCACACTACTGGTCGCATTGTTCTGTTGGCGGGAGAGAATAGAAAAGAAAAGAAGGAAAGGAAATAGAAAAAAAAAAAGAAAAAAAGAGGAGATAATTTTTTTTTTCTTTGAGCAAGATATTTTTTTTAAGAAACAAGTCTAGTCTGGTCACGCCCACACTGTTGATCGACCATTGGATGAACGTTAACGAGAGCCAGACGGAGGTGATCATGTGATACAGGGGAGGAGGCCTGCCACTACTCATTAGAGAGGATAGGTATAAGATGTTACTGCGAAGAAGTGGGAGGATCGTTGACGCCCTCTGAAGGTAGGGGTAAGAGAAAACTTCCAAAAATGGAAATAATAAATTTTTCCTGACCGAAAACAAAAGAAGGGGATTGTGGATTTGGAATTATCGAGGAACCTCAAACCCCAACAAAGCCCACCCCCCCGGTTTTGGTCGGCGTCCATATAAGCAAAGTCGCAGCGAGCGAAAATCAGAGTTTCCGAGAGAGTTTCCCAGTTCAGTCCAGTTCGGATCAACTTCCAGTTCGCAGTTGAAGTGGGTCCCGCCTCGCATTAGCTGACTTGAAAGATTCGCGCAACTTCCGAACTCACCTTCAATCCAAGAACAATTTATTTTTGAAGAGCGACTTAGATCCATACCACCAAAATAAGTTTTACGACTATCGCCTGAAGACACACCAAGAACCAGTTTCTTAAAGAACAGACAACTTAAGATGTTAAAACTCACCTAACAAAAACAACATGTCACAATCCATATAACGGGTCGGAAGTTAGACGCGGTCCTATGTATCCAGCAACCAGATATAAAGTATTGTTATCCTTTTATTTTTTGATACCTTGAACTTGAGTTACTATTTTATTTTATTTTACACATATTTGTGCGATACCACCCTCATTTGAACTCAACTTGCATTACGGCCCCAACGACTGATTGATTTCGTCTGCCTAAGATCAATTCACAACGTGGGTAGGCGGACTGGAGATCAACGCAGTTACTTCGGTAACCAGACGTTGGAAGCGAGTTGGGAACAACGAGGCTGATATCGGATCTGACCAGATTCCCATCCGAATCACCAAAAGGTTAGAACATCACATTTGGGTGCCGCGACCAATACCAAGCCAGTTGGTCGTCACAGGACGGGACAACACGACTGACGCAGACAGGCGGACGTCACGTTTGGAGCGGCGACATCCGAACGAAGCAGCGAGGAGCGAGCGAAGGCTGTAGGGACGTCACATAGAAACAAAAAGACACTTTTGATTAGAATCAGAAAGAGACAGATGAAACTTATGCGACACAATGGGAAAAGGCTTGGAGAATTGGACACTCACAGGATATACCAAACAGAAAAAGGAAAGTGGGTAACCGCTTGCAATCTACCTAATGGATTTGTGCAAATAGATGGCAAAAATGGACCGAGAGTAATAATAATTAATTAGAGCTACAAATGAAAGGAAAATGTGGAGATCCATGATCATCTACACCCTGAAGGGACAATGTACATAGAAGAAGAAAAAGAAATAAATGTTCTGCATACACAATGTACCGCTTCTTTATATTGCAATATTCAAACAATGGTTTTGTTTCTTTTTATTAACTGATTTGTTACTCATAAAAAATTGTGATCACGATCACGTAGCCCATCCACAGGAGAGCAACATGCCCTGCTGTCATAGCAGTAGGTGTGTCTAGATAACCTACCGGGCCACATCTCTCTTCAGGTTGGTATCAAATTCAGAATTGTCCAAACATTGCTGACTGCTATTTAACAGATAGTTAGAGAAGGGTGAATTTAGGCTGCTTTTTAACAGCATTAGCGCGAAGAGAACGAAACATAACGAATCGAGAAAAAAACTTTGAAAACCATTATTCGAAAAACATTTATTCGTATAGTAAATTGTTTGAATGAAAATTAATCGAAAGGACAATTATACTAAATGATAATTGCTCGAAATACTTATGTTGGAAGTCCGTACATTGTATTGCTTTGAGAGAGCCAATGCTGATTTACCTAGAAATAATAACGACCTTCAATGATGGCATAAGGCTTTTTTGAAGGAAGTATCATCGTATCATCCTACAGTATGGAAATTCTTAGACGCACTTAAAAGAGAAAAGGACTTGCAAGAAATTCATATTGCAAAAGTAAGAGCAGGTTGCCAAAATATCAAGAACGCCAAGAAATACCGTGACGTAAATGAAAATCTTAAAAATTAGTGGCATCTTTTAACTACTTTTCAGTAGTTGACTATTTGCGTGCAGTATCATATAAGTTAAGGTTATAAGGATTTCTTTTTACTAAATTGCTTAATTAACGATATTTGTATTTCGAATAATTATAATTTGTGTATTTTATTTTTTAAATTTCACATTTATATTGCAATAAAGAATGTTGTATTTCGAATAATTATCATTTAATATAATTGTTCTTTCGACTAATTTCCATTCAAACAATTTACAATTACAGTAAATATATTTCGAAGAATTGTTTTCAAATGATTGTTTTCGAACAATTACTTTCGCACAATATTCACATCATCAGAACGAGAATTTGAACTCGACTATTTCACAATTCGAGGCGCTAATCGTCGCAGTATCCTATGAAAAGGTTATAATTCATATAATTCTCATTGAGAAGCCAAAGATTAATTCTTGAATTCCGTGTCATAATAATTACGAGTTCAGTCCCTGGTTTGGGTAGGACAGACTTCAATTCATGCAATAACTGAGCAGCACTAAAAACAATAAAATCAAAGATATTACTACGTATGGATATTTTTTTAGGTTTAATTTATTTTTACTCCGTTTTTGAGATGGATTTAGATCTGGGTCTGAGACGTCTTCGTCAAAGTCGGCGTCTATATTGTCCTCATTCTCTAGATGTTGTTTTTTTCTTGTCGATCTGGTGGTGTAACTGTATTTGATGTTGTAACATCGATTGTGTTTGTGTTTTTTTTTCTTTGTTCTGATTCAGTGATGCCGCTGCAGATGCTTATAGACCAAAGTCCACTTGTTCCTGGTTAGCTGGAATTGGTCGGGTCTGCATAGTTGAATTGTGAGAGTCGTTTTGCTGAGTTAACAATTGTTGCAGCAAAAGCATTTTCTTCTCAAGCCTATCTAGATAAATGTACGGAAAATTGTCGCTATCTGACGACATTTGTTCCTCAGTTAAGATATAATCCTCGAAAAGCGAATGTCACATTGCATAGCTTCTTGACCTGACATCGAATTTCCGATCTTGAATAGAAATACCATCTCGGAATGAAACATAACGATTAATGAACTTCTTTCTTCTGATGGTGTTCTGCCTCCTCAAATGGATTGTTGCTAGTAATAATGGCCGGAGGATTTTCTATTTAAAGGGTTCAGTTGAAAATTTCCCGAAGATTACTCCAAGCGACAAACACTTGAAGACGATCGTAGAATACAACTGCTGGAACGTTGTGATAATAACAAGAAAGATGAGGATATTAGTCCCTCCTGTAGATAATAACTCTTCGTTCCAAAATTTCACAGATGAATTAATTAATAATATTTTAAACAATCTGGTATATAAAAATTTCTACAGAGCTTTTCAGAGTAACCAAGTCCAGCAATCTAGAGCCCAAACAAGATCCAATAACTTTACTCCAGTTTTACTTTCTGCAAGACAATTCAACCTAATGTGACAGTATTTCTTGTTGACATTTTATACTGAGTTTCTTTTAGTTAAGACAAGACGACGCTGTGAAGCTCTTAAGTTAAATACAAAATCTAATCCTGTTGAAATAATAATGGCTTGTGTATATGCCAATCTGGGGGCCATGGATTTTCTTTTCTTATGAATCATTAAATATGTTGCCGCGAGATTTCAAGATGAAGAACATGAAACTTCTAGACAAAAATGTTATGCAAAAGATGCAAATAAAAGAGCACTTTATTCAAATTAATATGTACAAAATCATTTATATTAAACATACCAAAAAATGAAAAACAAACTTTTAAAAATTACAAGTAATCAGATTATACAGTTATACAATTAAATTCCCTGAAATTAAATTTTCTTAAAAAATAGAATGTTTATTTATTGTCATTCGTAAAGCATTGCATATGATCAACTTTAGATTGAGCGTTAGATCATTAATGTATATTTGATTGACTGGGAATTCTCAATCATGTTTGTAAAATACATGTAAACACAACACAATCTATTTTAAAATACTGTTAATGATACTGTTATAGGAAAGAAATTCCAACAGACCAAGATTCAGTGTAGCCGCTAACATTACCAATGACTAAAAAGTAAAAATTTGTAGAAAGAGTTAAATCAAATATTTCATAAATCGTTTCATTCTTAGAATTTCTTCTATGTATGGACACGTATAGACACCCTACATTTGACCTAGGTTTTGTCACACCCTATCACC